CTAGCCTCTCGACGTTAGGTGTTTTGGCCCGTTAAAACGGGCGTACGATAGTCAAATTGAGAAGAGAGTCCGGGCCGGTACCACCCACATTTCGAAGAAGGACTTCTTTCCCGCGTTTTTGGCCGCTTTTCAGCAGGCGATGACGGTTCAAAACGTCCAGGGAGGATTTAGAGGGGCCGGGCTCGTTCCTTACGACCCGGAAAGTGTGATTGCTCGTCTGGATGGGAAGCTACGGACACCTACACCCGATGCACCTAGTATTGCGGCGACCCAAGTATGGGTGTCAAAGACGCCTAATAACCTAACTGAGGCTACCTCACAGTCCACCTTCATCAAGAATCGAGTCTCCGGTCATCAAGGAAGCTCACCGACACCGATTCTTGAGGCTATTGACCAGTTCACGAAGGGTGCGATGGGAATTATGCATCAGATCGCGTTATTGAAGTCCGAGGTTAAGTCACTACGCGAGGACAATGCACTACTTAGCCGCCATCGCCGCGCGAAAAAGAAGCAACTACGCGCTGGAGGGAGCATGACGCTTGAGGAGGGACAGCGTCTAGAGTCTCGTAGTCGTATTCAGGTCGTAGTAAAGCAGGAAAGGTTGTCGGAGAGTGGTTTAAGTCAGAGGCCTGAAACGCGCGCGCGGCGGTGTGGTGTCTGCGGCAACGTCGGGCATAACTCCAGAACCTGTTAAGTAGTTATTACTTCGTCTGAGGAAGAGGAATCTGAGTAATTCCAAACAATTCAATGTATGGTGGTTAAGTATAGGCCGATTATGTTGAGGTGGTCGGGTTGGAGTGGCCAGCTCGCTTATCTGGCCAGCTCGCTTATCATCCACGTTACTTATAAACCTATTTAAGACTAAGGCCTTCCGCTATTACCGTATTATAAGCTTTTCCGAACTCTTCTTTAAGTATTAGATTCTCGACCTGTAACTGCTACCATTCAGTATACCTCCTTAACGCGATATCGCGGAGGCTAGGGATGTCTAAACTCTCGGCTACTATTATATTGTTCACTCCTACCTATAAGGCTGGTGGCGATGCCTAATAAGGTGGACTAGGTAAAACGTTAGTAATACTAATCGGAGGAATATTAGCGGGCGACATCGCCATATATCCTAACTTTCGGTTATATCTCTACTACTCTTTAGCGTATAATTATTCCCGAACGTCGTTAGGGACGTTATTATAAGTTTATAGAACGCCGCCCTTTTCGATATACCTAATAAGGTTTCTAAGGTGGTGAGTTTTTAGGCTATAATACTTCTTTCCTTCTAAATTAATCTAGTAGTAAGAACCTAGATTATATAGTGGGCCTAAATAGCGTATAAGACTATACACCTCTCTCTAAATAGAGGGCTGTCCGGAGGTTCGCTGTTCTACGTCGAGCTGCGATTCCCGTTCGGCTAGTATTCGCTAAGTAGTCGACACTAGGCCCCTTTTATCCCCCTTTTTCGAAGAGCCACTAGCTGACTGCGGACTAGTTTCTATATAATTGAACGAGATATCTATCCTCAGTTTCTTTCCCTTCCGGAAGTATTGTTCCCAGGCGACCAGCTGTTTTTCAATAATGGCCTAATTAATTTCGGTCTCATCAAATCGCTTGGTAAGGTCCCGCTGTGAACGCTCGGTGACCGAGACTACCACACTAGTTTCGTTAGAGCATACGCTTCGGTTTTTAGATATCTTCTTCCGAAGAAGCTTGTCGAGCCGGAAATGTAAGAAGCGCTCCTAGTAGCACGCCGGTGCTAGCACCAGGTCCGGCTCAGTGTCCTTCGAGATAATTTTATCGTTTACCTTCACCTTCCACTTAATCGAGTAGTGAAGGCAAGTCGGAGGATATTCATTATATATCTTGTCTGGGTCCCATTCCGCCTCTTGCAATAACTTCAACTTCTCTAGATATAACGAACGCCGTCCTCGAAATACGGATCCTCGAGGTGTCTCACCCGATACCTTACTTAGCGTCGCGCTAGATTGGACCGTCGTAGGAAGGGGAGTTGCATCCGCTCCGAAGGGTGTGCCTATATTCTGCGCTTGCGAGGACTAATATAATTCAGTTTCGTCCATAAATTCGAAGTTAAAGATATCTCGCAAATTATAGTCTGCGTTCATGACGTTATGTACGGGTCGAGGCTGGAGGGGTGGTCGATCTCGTGGGAAGTCTAAAGTTCGTAGTCTCGGACTGCGTAGACTACGTCTAGTAGGGCGAATAACTCGACGGAATACTTACGCTATATACTCACGTTCATCTTCTAGCACAGCAGCACGTTATTCTGAGTTTTCGATTAGTATGTGTGTATATCCATTACATTCGAGTCGCTCCAACTTAGGCCTGTAGTTACAACTCGGAGACGGATCTAGAGCTTCAGTTCAAGCGTTCTTTAGACCTATTTCCTTCTTCTTACGGCAACGTCGGCACCTACAACTTCGCGATGGGCGACTATATCTCTTAACACCAGTATATTATTATTCGAAAGTATTGTATTATCCCTCCTTTTACCATGCCATCTAAGCAAGTTCCGCTTCCTAGGTCCAAGCGAACCGAAAGGAAGGGACTCGGCCGCGATAAGGATATAATAATAGCTGTAGGATCTCTAACTTAAGGCCGCATTCCAGTGCGCAACAAGGACAAGAGATTCGATATCGGGGAATATATAAGTGTAGAAATTTTGTATATCGATGACGAGTCAGAGAGTAAGAGTAACGGTTCTTATAAGGCCTTCCACCAGCCTTGAGTACGTCGATCACGAAGTGCGACTGGTAGCTTTTAAACCCTACCTACGCTAGGGCGGGGATTAGCCGGCTAGTTATGTGGCGACTTTAAGCTAAGTTTCACGAACTATTAGTAAATCCTACACCACACCTACGTGGCTGCACCAAGTCGCGTAGACTTTACTTTGACTTCACAACACATCAGTCAGTTTCTGGGGCAAGCTGAAGCCCGGACAAAGTAGCGTGACTGAGCCTTCAGTTCGGTGAAAGCATGATCTTCCGTCCGCACAACACACTCGAGACTTACCATAGATGTAGCGAAGTCCTTCGTAGCGATTGTAGAGCTTCACGATCAAGAACGGCATTTACATATTAGGTGGCTGTGAGTAAAAGACAGGACCTTTCTCTCTGTGCCACTGCAAAGCGTGCCATACTTTAGGGAGATGTTACGGATTGAATGCCTTACCGCTATTATATCTCTTAACTTTGCCGAGCCGGTCGGTGAGGAGCACGGGTTCCTGTAGGGAGAGTCAACGGATAAATATGTCGTATTTACAATACGAGGCTAAATTTCACTCATCGATGATTCGTTATCGTTACGGGCTTCACTTTACCTAACATGGAAAAGCGTTAGGTCAATCTCTTAGCGCCTGATTTGGGAATGCGTATGTCGCGCGTTAGTGGGTAGACCGATTGTGGGATCGCGTGTACAGAGTGCTCTAGATAAATCGACCTCGTAAAGTGGCGTGGCCCGAAAAGTGGCCATGATGGCGCTGGCAACAATAACCGAGATTAAGCCCGGGATTTGGGCCTTCCGAATACGTGAAACACCAAAAACTGGGAAATCCAGGGGGCCAAAGTTGTGGGAACATTCAAAGACTCAGGGCTGTGCTCATGGTGCCTCAGTGGGAGCTAAGCCGAGCCCAGGGTTGCACGGCCACAGCTCAGAATGGCTCAATCACGGCACGCGTCAAATAGCGAGATGCTCAGGTTTGAAAACGGAAATGGACTTTGGAGAGGCTAAGATTCGCCGCTGAGTATAGTGGTGGAGGCTCATCGTCGAGGCCCAAAGGGGGCCCCTTGAGCCCGAACTGGCTTCTGAGAACAGGCATCAGACAAGCTCCCTACGGCTCCTCTAGTGCTCGGGCGCGCTCCCTCGTACTCTGCCGGGCATCCGTCACGTGCTCGAGTAAAGCGGCCTTGCTCCCTTTCCTGAACGAAAGTGGCAAGGGATCAAGCACAGTTCGGGGCATATATAATGTATACATATATACATTCAATCCTCACCCTCCGTTGTAGTCTCCTCGAGAGGCTAGCGCACCAGAGTTCGTTCATGGGGACAGGCGAAAGGGTCATCACGAGCTGTGATGGTCCTCTCATGAATGCCTATCTTTAGGCAGGGATCCGAAAAGTCTATACGTACGTACCTAACGTACAAAGTACTCTGTAGAAGGAACAAGATCAACACCTGGCTAAAGTGATCACTGATGGATGGCAAACTTGAGGTTCTAAGCATTACTACATACCTTATTGATTAATAGTAGGTAGTGATAGGTAGTGATAGGTAGTGTTGGGTAATGTAGGTAGGTAGGTAGGTAGGTAGGTAGGCAGGCAGGCAGGTAGGTAGGTAGGTAGGTAGGTACCTTAGGTACACGTACGGATAGGAGTACTGATACTGGTACTGGTGTTCTATGTACGCATACGACGACGCTATCTGTATAGTATGTGCAGAAGTTGCAGTGCGTCTGATGACAGGCTTCTGGTCCTCGATCTTGGAATTGCGCCGTCTATTCTAGACCACGATATGCTCATCGCCAAAAAAAACAAAAGAAGAGAAGAAAAAGAAGAGGAAAAACCAACAAACCAGCAAGCGTTAAGGAAAAATATCCATGAATCTAGCACATAACAACAAACCAGCCAATCCGAAATCCAAATCGTCAACATCAACATGCTGTTAGAATCGTAAGTTCGTGCAGAACTTCACGGCTATTCATATCCCCACCTCTTCGATGCAACGCAACAACATGCCGTCGCTTGCTAAAATAACTTGCTTTTCTCCTGGTCTCATCCATCCTCTTCGCGAAATATAACATACTCTTCATCGACCCATGATGCCGGCGCTAACAAAAGGGAATCCTGCCCAGATAGCAAACAAGATCCGAGCTTCAGGTGCATACATGACTGTACGAAGCGACACAGACAGCCCTGGGAGGACGATTGTGCTTTTGAGCTGGACTTACCATCACGTCCCCGTCTAATGATGCCGATATGACTGAGGATTATTCAGGGACGATTCCACCATTCTTCCATATTCCCTGAAATTGATGGGGGTTGAGGTTGGCTGAGAGGTTGGAGAGGTTGGCCGAGAGGTTGAGCCACGAGTTGAGACGTAGGTGGCAGAAAGGTTGGTGACACTGGTTGGGCAAAAGGTTGGCCGAGAGGCTGAACTGGAGGCTGAACAAATGGTTGCGCGACAGGTGCTTGAGTCGCAAAAGGGTTCGTCTGAAAACCAGTGAATTGTTGCGATGGCGGGCTGTTGAAGGGTTGCAGCTTGGGACTGGAAAAGGGTTGTAATTGGGGACCGGAAAAGGGCTGCAGTTGGGGACTGGAAAATGGTTGCAATTGCGGACTGGACACGGGTGAGGGCTGTGGCGATTCTCCCATCTCAATCAGTTCAGCCATCTTCCCGCCGGGGACCTTGTTCTCAATCGGTTCGATGCTTTCCTGGAGGAGACTTGTGGGCGCGCTGACATTTCTCGAGTGATATGCACCAGTTGGCAAGCCAGTGTCAACGTGAGGAGAGAACGTCTTGGATACCGACGAGGCATTACTTGCGCTTCGGTCTCGAGGTGTGTAAACTCCACTGGCATTCCTGACGCTCCCGCTCCTGCTCACGTTTGCGCTCGAGTTTGGAGGTCCCTGATCGTCCCAATTCCGCCGGTGGACCTTGAGAGGTTGCGGCAGTTCTTCGTCCCATGTCGAGCCCGTTTTGTGGGTTGTGACAGCTCTCAGGCCCGAACCTGCAATGACTTCAACGCTGGTACGTCGGGCAGCCGGGGAGGTTGGACCATCGAAGACCTCTTGGGGCCGCCAACTCGTGCGAGCATCGTTCGCCTCTTGCTGGTCTCGTAGCGTCAGAATGGGTCTGTCGGCATCCGGATCGACGTAGGATGCGCCGGTGCGTTGGATGTCTAGGGACCTGGATTCTCTCGTTATCTTCCTTTGCTCGTCATACTCGTCGCGCAGACCTTCCCAGCGCTCGTAGTTTTTCCGACGTTGTTTGTCCCGACGTGCTTTGACAAGGCCTTTATGGCCCAACCATATTGAACCGAAAATCAAAGATGTCATTGTGTTTCTGTCTTGTCGGCCTTCCTCGCGTGGCTCGCTAGTGTCTGCCGAAGGAGGGGGTCGGAGGAGATAGGAAGATGCTATTCGGTCGCTCGGCTCGAGCTGGTAATGTACCGCAATACTATACGACAAGCAAGAATAAGTCGTGTGTGATAGTCGTAGAGACTGTTGCCTTGCTGTGGAGGTCGAGGCTTTGCCGCAATGGCAGGCAGAACTATTTGCTGGTCTGGTTGCGGGGGCGGCAGACACTGGGTCAATGCGGTGAGAGTTCCAGAGAGTGCGAGGCGGTGATCAACGAGAGGTAACGATCGCGAGGCGTGTAGGTGGGGGTGTGCGGATGGTGAAGAACACACGCAGCCAAAAGAGAGATTTGAAGGAGCGAAGCAGAGAAGATAAGTGGGATAAGGGAGAGTCTGGGTGATAAACACAGATGTCGGGCGAAGGTTCCAAAACGAGAGCGAGGGTGATGGCGAGAGCGAAAGCGAAGGTGACGGCACTAGCTTCACCAGGCCTCTGTCGTAGTGTACAAACGATAGTAACTAGTCGTGTCTAGCGATAGCGAGCAGCACGCAATGGTGCCTCTGGATGTTTTCGATTTTGGTTCTGGCTTTCTGGGAGCTGGCCGGTTGAAAGATCTGGTGGTTGAAGCCGGCCAGCGAACCCAGGATTTGGACAATAATGGATGATGGATGATGCATTTGCTTGTCTGTTGCATCGCCTCTGTTTCGATCGTATCTGGCCAGCATCCTGGTAGGTGCCTGGTATCCTGGCCGATCCGCTTTTCCCGCGCATCCGCATCAGGAGTAGGAGCACATGCGGTGCGATGATGTCAGCAAGCCTCTCACGTCAGATAAGAGGCCAGAAAATTGCGCAGGCTTTTTGGTGTGAGCAGGGAGCAGAGACTGTTCGGATCGAGTGTTTGTCTACAGTATGGCCCGGGGATTAATAATTCTGATATACGGAGCACCTATACCCATGCACAAAGTACATACATCCCATGGCCACCCAAAGGCACGGCCAAGGAGGCTGCTCCCTACTGTCTAGGCAGAGTCAGAGGTGTGAGAGGATGCCGTGCTAAGTAACGAGCTGAGGGTCTAGATTGCGGAGAAGGAGCCTTAGGACAGACACCAGAAACCCAATCAGGCCACACGTCAATCTTTCCTGTCCTGCAGTCCTGCCTTTGCATTCAATAACAATGTCAATCTTCCAGATATCTTTTGATCGTTGCCAGAAGTAAACAGCCGCCTTAGTATTTACTGGATGACCCTGACCCATACCTGCGAACAATGGCTCCCGTCGTCAAGCCCGGAGGCTCACGCTCCTCATGGAATCCTCGAGTAAGGAGTAGCTTAGCTACCAGATTCTTCCAGCGCACCCACTAATCTGGCGGCAGGCTGTCACTGCACCCATCGCAGCCGTGGTAATGGCTGGCCTTCTCTACACCTACTCCGTAACCTCGATTCGAGCGGCTAAAAGAAACGCCCGACTTCACCGGGAAGCGGATGGCGGCCAACTAGACATGCGCCGTGAGAGCTTGCGCAGGCACGGCGTCCTCGATCCGGTACAAGGCACAGGTGGTGTGGAACTTTTTCGAGATGCCAAAGCTGGAGAGAAACAAGAGTCGAAGTTCTTGACCGAAAAGCAGGCCAAACCGCTGGGCGTGGAACAGAAAGAAGAAGCAGGAGCACCGCGCACGGAGAACGAGGAAGTTCTCGATACCTATCGGGGCCGTCGCGGCTTGAAGAAGCTCAAGGATGAGCATGCACGAGAATAGCTTTTTGAAGATGTGGTGACTATCTCCCGGGTCGAAGGATTTCGGTCCTTTCACCCATCATCCCGCAGCCACGGCACGCCTCCTTGTCTTTGTTCAGGCGCGGAAACTAAACACCCATCTTCGGGACTACGGTGACCGAACAGGCGAACTGAAAGATGGGACAAGCTTGGAGGGTTGCTCACGGGCAGTCTGCACATCTGGACCATTGGACGCAGCCGGCGTCCGTTTCCTCGACGAGAAACAACTTGAAAGCCTGGGCGGGCAATGAAAGAGGGCGCAGACGAGAAGATACCACGCCGATCCGGCCTGACAACGCCACTGCCATGAGACGCAGCGTCGGCTCTACATTGCTGTTACTGTAGACGAAGTCAAATCGGTGGTCAACTGCTAACCAGCTCCCATGGCGGATGGAGCCGCAGCCATGATTGCAAGTACCAGTACCAGATGGCCAGCATGGACCCATCTCTGCTCTGAAATCAAACAGCAAATCGAGCTGGCCGGTCCCGCGAGGTCATGCTGCATGAGCGCCGTGAATCTAGTGACTGTCCTCTCGAAAGGACACCAGTTTATAGTCCTAGGACTTGTCCCACGTGCGTGGCACGTGTAGATCAGACGAGGAGAGAGTATGCACGAATATATTCGTATAACACTCATGTTTCAATCGAACTTCGTCAAAGTGGACCGCCACTTACGCCCAGTGGGCGCACCGGCGGGTGCATCATCCTCACGTCATGTTCAGCTCACGCGACGCGGCGATCGAGCCAAGATTTGCTTCCTCCATGCAGCCCCCATACCAACTACCAACTCACACCAACTGATGTGAAGCTCTGCCCAACAATGCCATTGTTACAGTAGAGATCAGTTACGTGGGCTAAGGAAGGCGATCAGGCCCACCACCAAGCATCTCCCTTCCCCAGGTTCTCTTCTCGCTTGTGATGCCGGCAGCCCCCATGTGTCCTAAGGCGACAACCAGACCAATAACGGCCATGGCGCAAGCAAAGCCTTGCCCAACCAACTGCCTGGCCCCAGCCGCTCACTGGCGAGGCCAAGGGCTTCGGTGCGACAATGACGTCGAGACAACGGGAAGCAGCCGTAACTCTTATTCTTCTTTGTCAAGCTGAGACCGGGGGTCGGGGGTTGGGGGTTGAGAGTTGAGATCCTCCCGACGAGTCTTCGAGTCTCACGAGCTGAAATGACGTCCTGGACACCCCGCGAAAAAAAGATAGAGTTCATGCAGTTGCAGTCCCCGCGCTGGATACATATATACATATACAGACACAGTCTAACTTGAACACATGTCTATGTCTAAGTCTACCTTCCTCCTCGGTTTGATCATCTTGCGCCTGTCTCTGTCTATCCTAGCTGCTGCCGGTCACCAACAGATATGTTCCAGCGAAGACCGCCTACCGCCCCTCGAGGGGGCTCGGTGAGGTCCTCGTTCACCGCGACGGGCGACACCGCCGACATCGAGACCGAAAAGGGACCTTTTGACGATGAATCCAAGGTGCCGTTCCTTACCGTGAGGACCTTCTTCATGGCTGTGCTGGTTTCATTTGGCGGGCTATGCTTTGGTTATGATACAGGTAAGATTACCTTCTTCCTCTGCCCGGCTCCTCGATAGGCAGGTCAGTATGCTCGGTTTCAGCAGTGCTGACTGAATGGCCAGGTCAAATCTCTGGTTTCCTGGAGATGGACAACTTCCTGCGCAACTTCGCTAACGAGAAGAACCCCCTGGGCTTCGACAACATTCGTTCCGGCTTGATTGTGGGCATGGTGAGTGTGTCAGATTCCAAATCCGGCGTTGGCTATGGAGAGACTGACACGCTTGGTGTCAGCTGTCCATTGGGACCCTGATCGGGGCTCTCATCGCTGGCCCGGTTGCCAACAACAGAGTCATTGGCCGCAAATACTCCATCTGCATCTGGTCGATCGTGTTCTGCGCCGGTGTCGCCGTGCAGCTCGGTGCTCTCGGTCCACGCTGGTATCAAATCATGATCGGTCGAATCATCGCCGGGTTTGCCATTGGCGGTATGTCGGTCATGGTGCCTGCATACCAGGGTGAATCGAGCCCGCGACATGTTCGAGGTGCAATTGTGTGCTGCTACCAGGTCGGTTCAACCGTTCATGGCTGTCTGCTTGACTTGTTCCCAGTGCTTACTGGCCCGGCAGCTTTTCATCACGATCGGTATCTTGATTGCCAACCTGATCAACTTCGGCACCGAGCGCCTCCATAGCACAGCGTCCTGGCGGATTCCAATGGGGATTGGATTCCTGTTTGCCATTGTTCTGGGGTTCGGAATCTTGTTCTTCCCCGAAACGCCACGTCACCAGTACCGACATGGAGACATCGACAACGCCACCACCAGTATCGCCAAATTCAACGGCGTGTCCGAGAGACACAAAGTGGTCAAAGACCAACTGGTCGAGATGCAGGAAAAGCTGCAGGTCGAATTGGAAGGCGGCAGGCACCCGTGGTACGAAGTCTTTACCGGGCCGAGAATGTTGTATCGCACCATACTCGGCATGGTCATCCAGGCTCTGCAACAGCTGACCGGCGCCAACTACTTTTTCTACTACGGCACCACGGTGTTCGCCAGCGTGGGCCTGTCCAACTCGTACGTGACGCAAATCATCCTGGGCGCCGTCAACGTCGCCACGACGTTCCCCGGCCTGTATTTCGTGGAGAAGTTCGGCCGACGCAGATGCCTGATGATCGGCGCGGCGTGGATGTTTATGTGTTTCTTGATCTTCGCGTCCTTGGGCCAATTCGCCCTCCACAACGGCGACGGCAGCAACAACCAAACCATCGGCTATGTCATGATCATCTTCTCGTGCCTCTTCATCGCCGCCTTCGCCAGCACTTGGGGTCCAATGGCCTGGGCCGTCACGGCCGAGATCTATCCTTCTCGATACAGATCACAGTGTATTGCGCTGTGTGCTGCCAGCAATTGGCTGTTTAACTTGTAAGTATTGCAGGTCCCCTCCTCAATATCTGCAGGAATCAGCAATCCACACCGGCTTCCACAGCACAGCGGTTTCAGTTGATTGTTGCCCCTGTCTACCCATCAACCAAACCTGTTCCATTCTGTTCCTTGTTCTGCTTTCTGCTTTCCTCTGTCTGACTCTTGTTCCTCTAAACAGCCTCATCGCCTTCTTCACGCCTTTCATCACCGGCGACATTCGCTTTGCCTATGGCTACGTCTTTGCCGGCTGCAACCTGTTCGCCGTCTTCTTCGTCTATTTCTTTCTCCCAGAGACGTCGGGCCGGTCCTTGGAAGAAATAGACACCATGTTCCTACTGGAAATCAAGCCGTGGAAGAGCAGTAAATGGGTCCCGCCCAAAGGCGAGGAATTGATCACCGCGGATAAGTTGAGGTTGAACTCCGGCGCCAGAGGCATCACCAAGAAGCAGGAGGCCGGTTTAGGAGGCGTGGACCAGCGGGAGAGCGCGGGTCCGGGTCGGGGTCGCACTGCTGGTGGCCATGGCATTGATTGGCCGCATGACTCCATCGTCTCGGACCAGCAGCATCCCACGGGGTCGTGAGGCTGAGGCCGAGGCCATTCTTTTGTTAGCTGGCCAGTAAGAAACAGACAAGAGAGAAGATCGGAAGGCGGCACGGATTGGTTTGGACAAGCGGTTGCGGAAAGGATCTTGACCGGTTTAATCAATCCGGGCGGTCCTCCGATCTTCTCTCTTGTCTGTAATGGTAATCATCTGTGATCGAGGTGTTTGATGAAAAAAAGAGTTGGTCCTTTGGTCCTTGCGAACTATGCGTCTGGCTCAGGAGCATTAAGAGAAAATGAATCAAGATCGTCGTCTGGCTGTTTTTGACCATGACGAGTGAAACCTCGAAAGGTTCTAACTTCGAAGTCTTCGTGGCCGCCAGAGGGGCTCTAGTGGAGTTGTAGCGAAGGCGATGCTGCGCCGTCGTTCACGAAAGATCAGTATCTCCTGAGAGAGAGAGAGGCACACAAGAGGATGCTTGTCCAGCCATGTTTTCTTGTTCCTGTTCTTGTTCTTGTCCGTGTTGAATGGATCCAGGCTCGTCTGTGCAGATGTGTCGCCGAGCTGCAGCTCGTATCCGAGATGATGGCCAGAAGAACATCAGATGTTGTTCTGATGTCGGGTCATGGATGATGGGGCCTCGTTTGTTTGCTTTACCCGACCATGCACAGCAGCTGCGGTACTAGTTGTTGACTCTTTTGTTTCAACAGTCAAAGTCGACTTCAAGTTGACTCTGCTCCGGGCTGGGTGACCCTGCTTACTTGAGCGTCAAGAAACCCACGTCAAGCCCACGTCAAGCCCACGTCAAGCCCATGTCAAGCTCCATACCATTTCTCTTCCCTCGTTCGTCGAACCAGCTTACTCCTCGAGCTCTTTCAGCCAGCGCAAAACATCGCCTACCAAGTACAAACTGCCGGCAATGCAGAGCGGTCGTGTTCCAGTTCCAGTTTCATATGGGGCTCCAGCTTCGGGAACGTAGGCGATCTCAATAGCTCTCTGGACCGCCTTTTGCACACTTCCACCCAGGCCAACCTCGACCGTGCCGGTGGTGAACTCGCGCACAGTCCCCGCCAGTTCAGAGGCGTCCATGCTCTTCACCCAGGGCATGCCGTCCACCGGGCCGAAGGAGCAAGTGACGACATTGTCCGAGGGCTGTAGTAGAAGAGAGAGCATTGTGCGGATATCCTTGTCTTGCTTCGCGGCCAGAACCCACGTCACGGGCCCTGCACTGGAAGAGTGGTCCCGAACATGGCTGGCGATATATTCGGCCAACGCCTGTGCGGATTGTGGATTATGTGCGCCGTCGAGGAGGACTTTGACCGTTTCAATACCCGGGATCCGGGATGTGAAGACGCTGGATGGCAAATAGAGCCACTCGAGACGGCCGCGAAGCGACGACTGCGCCGTCCAAATCAGGGATGGGAGATATTGAGTGGTTGTTGCAATATGCTGCGCAAATCTGGTCCGAGATAATGTCGCTGGCGAGGTCGAAGTTCCTGTAGCGGTCCCTGGTACCTCAGCCTGCGGCTTCACGAGCTGCTCTTCAGCCAAATAATAGGCGGTAAATGCAGTCATCAGGTTTTGACACTGATGTCGTGCCAATCCCATGTGGGCGATATCTTGGTTCTGCAACAACCGATCCCTCTGTTGCTGAGGCAAGACGAAAGGACCACTTTCCAGCACACCACCACCCTCGGCGGCTGCGAGCGCCTTCAATTTCTGACTGACCACCTCCAACACGGCCGGGGCATTACTCTCGTCCACCACTACAGGCACGCCGTTCTTGAAGATGCCCGACTTCTCCGCGGCGACAGCCTCGAGCGTAGAGCCCAGGAACTCGGTATGGTCGAGGCCGACTTTGGTCAAGACACTGACTATAACATCGTGCGATCTGAGGACGTTGGTGGCATCGAGGCGACCGCCGAGCCCGCACTCGATGACCGCAACATCGACGCCCTCGGCAGTGAATAGCTCAAATGCCGTTGCCGTGAGGATCTCGAACTCGGACGGAGCGTCGTCGTTGTTTACAACGCCATTGCCGTTGCCGTTGCCATCGCCATCGCCATCATCACTGTCAACGGCACTGCGGCCGCCGATGGCCGCCTTGAGCCTCTGCTCGACGGAGAGAAACTTGTCGCGCTCGACCGCCCGCTGGTCCAGGGTGATGCAGTCCCAACGGTCGACTAGGTGCGGCGATGTGAAGCGCCCAACGCGATATCCTGCCGCGGAGAGGAATGTCGCCACCAGCGCCGCCACACTGCCTTTACCATTGGTCCCCGCGATATGCACTGCTTTCCAGGGCAGCGTCGGGTGTTGGGCGAACAGGGGAGCCAGGAGGCGTGAGATGCGTTGGAGACCCAGGTTGATCATCTTGACTCGACCCGATGCAGCTGGATCAGATTATGAGATGAAAGCGGAGAAGGGGGTGAGTCGGAGGACACGGGAGGCCAGCTGGTAGTAGTGATGGCTAGAGACATGCTATCATAACAATCTCATAGCGTAGACGGTATGGCTTAGATGGCCATCGCAGGTCTAGAGGAGAAGGTTCTCATCACACTCATACAGCAGCGACAGCGGTACCCAAGACAAGGGTAAAAGTGTCAGCGGCAGACTGCAGGTACTGGCACGGATAGAGAGACTCTCATGATGCTGAAGCTGGTTGACGGGAATCTGATAAATTATATTGCCAAGCATATAGTACCTAAGTACCTACTGTATGTACTCCGTACAGCACGTACAGTATGTACAGTACAGTAATACTAAGTTGTTTAGTAGTTGACGTGAGCATTCTTCGCGCACCCCACTGGCACTAGGCATGCCTAGAGATACCGCCCCTCAGCCCCTCAGCCTCCGTGATCCCTGCGCGGGTAGCGTATGGTAATTACAGGTCTACTATACCTAAGGTACCTACCTCACCTCAGGTAAGGAATGAATCAGTCAAGTGCACCTTACTACCTACTTTACTGCCACCTGCATCCGGTTTTGGGGGAAGACTACAGAGTATAGGACAGTTATGTACCAGGTAAAATATATAATCCCTATCAGACTCCCAAGTATAGTTTGTATAGAGATTTAATCTATACCCAGTAATATATTCTGAGCTCAAGATATCGAGTTCCTGGAAAGGCAATGATACTGGTACTGGTGCTGGTACTGATACTGATCCATCTACCACGGCCAGAAACCATTGTCCTGGGAGATGAAAGCGCCGTTGGGGCTCTTCCCTTCGGCATCGACGACCAAGTCGCACGCGGCGATGATGCCCTCTTCCGGCTTCCCAGCGGTATCAGCGTAGCCGTTCATTCTGGTCGCCCTGTATCCGGGACAGATGACGTTGACTTTGAAACCTTGCTTGCCATATTGCACTGAATACAGGGCGGCGAGCATGTTCAGACTGGCCTTGGATGTCGAGTAAGGTTTGCTGTCCACTCCGTACATGGGGAACGACGGATCGAGCATGTTTCCGATGGACCCGATACCGGACGACATGAACAACAGCCGAGGGGCCCGAGACTTCTGAAGCAATGGGATGAAGGCCTCGGTGGTCACCGCGGTGCTGATGAGGTTCGTCTCAATGACCGATCGCATCTGTTCGCGCAGACTGTCGCCAGCGCCTGGACCCGCGGTGGAGATGCCGGCGTTGTTAAAGAGGACGTCGAGGCGACCGTAGGTCTCGTCCACGCGCTGGGCGGCGCGAGTGATGGATTCGTCCGAGTCAATGTCGATGACTAGGGGCACGACAGACGTGCCTTTGGCGAGGCTCGTAATGCTGCCCGCGGCCTCGTGGCCTCTTTCTGGGTTTCTGGACCCGAGGAGGATGACATAGTCGGCCTGTTCGGCCGCCAGCTTCTTGACAGCCTCATACCCGAGCCCCTGGTTGGCACCGGTGATGAGAACAATCGTCTGGCTCGGAGACGCCATGACGAGAGCGAGATCGCACAAGAAAGGGTTTTCTGCAAAAGAATTAGAACTTTGGAGTACTTAGGCTGTTGGATCCTGATCACAGTTTGTATCCAAAGGAGGTTGGTAGCCGGGGGGGTGTGCAGTTTTATATACTTGAGGCGTCCACCCTTCCTCTCTGAATTGCGATCGTGTCCCGTCCGCTTTGGTCCGATTCCGTCCTGCTTTGCTGTATCATAGCTTTGCACGCCTTGCCCTAGATATTATGCATGCCACGGGGATAGGGACTTGTTCGTCCGTGGTCAGTCACATAACGTCCGTTGCATGGCAGATGAGATGGATATACTCTGAAGTTAGCCAGTTCCAGAGGACTCCATCACGACTACGAATCAGGATTACGAAGACAGGTGGGTCGTGTGTTGGTTGGAGAACGGCACCGTCTTGAACCTGAAGTCCAAGTTAGTGACGAGGTCAAGAAGCGGAGGGTCTAATGAGCCCTAAGGAACTCTAGGCAGCTCTAAGTTAATGATAATCAATAATAAGGCTGCTGATGATGAGCTTAAGCTAGACAAGCCTTACACTAGTACAACTAGTACCACTATCACCAATCACAACTGCGCTCGGCGACAAATTATCCCGCTTGGCTTACAAACACAGTGGTTCTGCCGTCCTGGCAGCCTACATCAGATACTTGATACTCGCCGGTGTGCCACCAGCAGCAGCAGCAACAGCGTCTTGCTCAGCTCTGAAGCTACTACCTGAGCAGGTAGCCGTGTCTGCTACTCTCGCGCCCCGTCCTATGTACGGAGTACCGTATTCCGTACTGTTTTTTCATACACAGCACATGTATGACTCGTTACTCGACTTGCTCCGATCATGGTCCGCCCTGTCAGAACAGTGTCTGAAGCACTTGTCCCCTCACAATTGCTCCTGCCACTGCCTCAGCACCATGTCCTGATCTGTCGGGCCTGTCGCTATGCAATCCCTCCACTTGCAATTGACAGGCACCTCAAGGAAATTCACCATCTCGATCGCGCACGACGAGAGGTGTTTCTTGATTTCGCCTCCAAATTCGACCTCAGTGATCCAGCCCACGTCGACGAACCCGGTGCGGATCACTTTCCCGTGCCTGAACTTCCGCTTTACGACGGGTTACAATGCACGTCCTCTAATTGCCGACATCTCTGTCTCAGCGAAAAGCGCATGAGAAGGCACTGGCAGCTGGTACATGGACGACACTGCCGGCCATCCGGTGACTGGAAGCATGCGCCTATCCAGACCTTCTTTCGCGGAAATCGGCTGCGCTATTTCACCGGCTCTGTTGTTGAACCGAGCCACGATAGCTCCGGACACAGTCGCCACAAGCACATGCTCAGAGGAAACGTGATTCGGACATTCTATATTTCGGAAGATGGCCGGGGGATGGATATCGCCTTCGGTATCCCTGAGGGCCCAGGCACAACAACACACGGACAGGAGAGGCAAGGCACTGAGGACGGACGAGTGAGACTCGATCAAACCGACAGGGCCTTGCTTGACCACTATAAGACGTCCACCTGTCTCACAATCGCTACAGACGAGGAGACCAGAGCAGTCTGGAGTACAGCGGTGGTTCGTCTTGCGTATTGTCATAGGTTCTTGATGGACGCAATCCTGGCCCTCGCAGCCTTGCACCTGGCACACTGTCATAGGTCCGAACCTGCCAAATCCCGAGAATACTTGGCCGTCGCGTCCAAGCATCAAGACGAGGCCATGCCCCCGTTTCGGAAAGCAGTCAGCGAGGCTGACGCGTCCAAAAGCCACGCCGTTGTCACGTTTGTTCACCTGTTGATTTTGTACTCGATTGCCATGGAACACCAGGATGAACAGCTGCTATTGGTGCCCGAAGGTCAGTCAGACGTGGTTGTCAGCTGGTTGCACTTGTTACGGACTGGTTCCGGCATGCTGTGCGCCACCTGGCATCTGATCGAGATCGGACCCTGCCAACAATTGTCGCTCGTGTGGAGAGAAGAGACTAGCCTGTCGCCGGCGGCTACGTTATTGGCGTCGGAATTGCGAGACAAGTTCCTGGCGGCCATACCTCGGCCAGGCTCACAGGACGAGTGGGCAAGGTCTGAACGGGACGAGTATGCCAACGCAGCCTCGTACCTGGCGCTCGCCTTTGCCTACCACTCACAGCCATCAACTGGGCCGTGCACCACGTGGGACATACTTCGGATCTGGCCACACCGGCTCTCCGATCCGTTCATGGCCATGATGGCCGCCAATCATCCGGGAGCGCTGATTCTGCTCGCACATTATGCGATTCTGTTGAAGGACATTGAGCAGCATTGGTATTTCAAAGGCCGGGCCACCAGGTTGATCCGGAGGATTGCTGAGAGGCTAGAGGAGAGATGGCAAACATACATCGAAAGCCCATTGAGGGCTATAAGGACACCAGTCGTTCGGCCCAGACGTTTATTACCTGGGCCACTCTGACAAGAAGATTAATGTTTTAAGACTATTAATGTCTAGAATATTAATGTTTGGCTGCATGTGTCCATCCTGGGATCATTTTTCATCCGACAGTGCTGGAGACGGCTTGTCCCACCCTACCGACACGAGTCCATCTTCAAAAGACGTACAGGCTCTTTCCGTGTCAAGGCTACGGTAGCAAAAGTCATCCGGAACTCTTTACCATAGTCGACGATGCACATGCTCCGAACAACGAACACAAATAGAAGCCTTCATCCTTCGTACTAGTATCTCCGTACTAAGGTACAGTATTTGATCCATTTCCACAATCCCAGTTTAAATCTTCCACTTTAGGCTCAACAGATGGCTGAGTAGAGTCTTTGACACGATCGCCATTCGTTGGACAAGCACAGTAGTTGGACAAGCACATTATCGCTAAGTGTGGTGATCTCGGACAGCACAGGTATCCCCAAACTGGACAGGGTGCCTAGGGCCTTAGGCCTCATAGGATTTCCCCCCCGTAAGTTTTGAACCTTTCCTCTACGGGTTGGAGGGCCTCATAGGATTTCCCCATAAGTTCTGAACCTTTCCTCTAATGGCTGGAAAGTCTTCACCCCAGGAGGCCTAGTCGGAGTTCCAATGACCATCTGAGCGGCCAACTTCCAGTCCTGGGGGAGATTCCATCTGGCCGTCACCAAGTCATCAATCAGGGGGTTGTAGTGCTGAAGGTTTGCCCCCAGGTCCTGACAGGCGAGGGCCGTCCAGATGGCATATTGGTGCATGCCCGACGACTCGGATGCCCAGACGGGGAACCGGTCGGCGTACAGAGGGAATCGGTTCTGGTAGTCTCGGATGGTTGATTGATCTTCAAAGAAGAGGATCTGCGCGTCAGCCCGAGGTCAGTGTCAGTATATACAAGTATATGTAATATATTATGCCATGGGGGAGGGGAGAGTATATATGCCATGGGGGAGGGGAGAGTATATATGCCATGGGGGAGGGGAGAGCTAAGATCGATGTCGATGTCGATGTCGATGTCGATGTCCATGTTCTTGACTCTGTCAACGGTTGAAATTTTCATCTTCTCTTCTCCGTCAAGGGGTCGCAGGGGGAGCGGGGAGCGCATGCTATACAGTATAGTATGCCTAAACCAGCCTTCCAGCCTTCTGATCAAAAGAGCAAGGCTGGGAATGCCTATGTAAGTTTGACAGACTCACTGTTCCATATGCCCGTTGGAAGCTTTCGAGCTTCTTTTCCGTCGTCGCAAATGCCTGGCCCGGCACGATTCCGCTCAAGACGTCCTTGACAATATCCCACAAGGCGGCATGTTCATGGCCGACCAGGAGAACGATGCGAGTTGACTGGGAATTGAACGAGCTGGGAACATGAAGAAGAGCATGGCGGATGATGTCTTGGATCTCTGCATTCGAAATGGGCGAGTTGCCTTGTAGATTATAGACCGTTCTGCGCTGGAGCATCGAAGCCTGGAAGGTTTGGAGGGTCGACATGGTTTTGATAGGCGTGCATATAGGTAGGACTTTGAAAAAGAGGAAGAGGAAAATAGACGTGCTACGTAATACTTTGAAAAAGAAGAAGATGAAGATGAAGAAGCGCCAACGCCAACGCCAACGCCAACACACTTTCAGGCTCGTCCATTCCGTCCACTTCCCCTCTGCCTCTGCCTTCTGCCTCTGCCTTCTGCCTGTCGGCCAATTCCGTCTCCAGACTACAACGGTACAGTCCAATTTAGAAAATCTAGGTAAGTAGGAAGGAGCCTTGGCCCCGGGTTTGGACTACAGATTGTCGATTTACCTGACACCCGTACGATAAGGTCGAGTGTGGATCTACAATACTCGACAGCATCGACAATAAGGTAGAGTGTGAATCTACGGCATCATGCTCATGCTCATGGTGGAGGAAGATACTATACTAGTAGTTGGGGTTTGTTCTATCCCTGGTCTGGTCGTAGATTTCCGATGTGATGCTGGAAAATCCCGACAGCCTAAGGGCCTTTTCGCTACCTAGCACCTAGTGCGTAGTAATCTAATCAATACATACTGTAGCACACACCGCACCCGTAGTAGTGACAATCAATATATAGCACACAGCCACACCAGCAGTGGTGGCAGGCCCAGAGTCCAGAATCGCTCGTCTATGCTGGCATGGAGTGGAGTGGAAATGAGGATAAATGCAGATCCGACGTCAAGGTCAAGTGCACTAATAAGGGAATCACTAGCAGCAGAGTGCAGTGTGCAGGGTCATATTCGGCTCGGGTGGAGGTGGCCGAGGCTTTGGCTGACATTTGGTTCTCGTTCTGGTGGACGAGGCACTATCTGGCCACACCGGCTCTCCGACCCGTTCGTGGCCATGATGGCCGAAAGAGGAGGATTTTGGTGTCGAGGCACTGCTTCCAAGCTATGCCTCATCTACCGCAGGTCACTAACTCATATGAAATCTAAACTGAAAAACGGTTGGTTGAGTGGTCCCATGGCCCAGTCGAAATCCTCCATGTCCATGCCCGGCATGTTCAAGGGGAGATCCCCCATTCCCAAGACGTCGATGTGGTCGAAATCAGGGCCGACGGTTCGTTGCTCTGCCGCCAGCGCCGAGTCTGGAAAGAGATAGCCGGCCAGGATGTTGGACGTCACGTCGTCCCTGGGCGGCGGCTCCCCATATCGACAAATAGCATGCAGACGACGGAGGACGGGTTCGGCGAGGATGGCGACAGTATCGGCACAAACCCTGACCGCCGGCCAGAGCAATGCGACTTGGCGGAGAAGCCGAGGGAAATCGTTGATGCAGTCGATGATCTGCTGAAGGTCCATGTACTGTGACAGCCAGTCGCTGCCGAGCCAGGCTGTATCGAGCGTGACAATGGCGATCTCGAACAGAGTGTGGGCGGCAAACCACGGGTAGATGAATCGTTGTTGAGAGCGGTATCTCGTATAGTGGTCGACGATGCCGATCGCGGCTTTGATGTACTTGAGCCGCGACTCCTGTGACGGATACTTGACTCGAGGCGATGGTCGATGCAACCGGCCCTGCAGAAGGTTTCGCCCAAGATTGCTCAAGTCGAATACGTTTTCCGACCCGAACGAGGCCTTTTGCTGCTGTTCGATTCGCCGCGCATACGAACACCATTCCTCCATTCGGGCTTGGAACGAATGCTCCCATTCTTCAAATTGGGTCGAGTTCGGCGTCGGCTTGCGGTGTGGCTGTGGCTGTCGCGTATGGACCCATGTCATGCTGAACACCTCCGTCTCGAGCAGGCGGAATGCCCATAAGTGATTGGATTCTGGCCCGTCGGGGCCTTTTCCCGACATTCGATGCCCGGAATCGTCTCTATCACCTCGCCGGGGCTGGGGATGGGGATGGTACATCTATGCCGGCTGGATTAGCCTTGTACCCAGACGCAAACAACACAAGATAGAAGCAGAGCCAGACGCAAACAACACAGGATAGAAGCAGAGAGAGAGAGAGAGAGAGAGAGAGAGAGAGAGAGAGAGAGAGAGAGAGAGAGAGAGTCACCTGGGTTGTGATGTCCGACTCGTCCAAGACAAAAGGCAATCGGAGTTGAGAGCAAACGGTTCTGATACATATCGTGTCAGTTGGGCTTTAAAGGTCGTGGACGGTCTGGATTCTGGATTCGGATTCTCTTCTTGATTACAATACCTTTCAAGCCCACACGTGGTCCAGAACAATCGCCGGCGGGTATTCAGCTCTCGCTCATCAAGCCCCATTTCTGGGCCAGCCTCTTTGTGAAGGCCCAGGCTGATACAGCGTCGAGAAGCGTCTCCTATGCAATACCATACATCGACCGCGGTTGGATTCATAAACGAGTAATGAGTCAGTAAGAGTGCCACCTGGATCTGTCGGATCTCCGAGTCGAACGTGGCCGGATGGCTCAACATCTCCTTGGCCTTTGCGAAAAACCCGGCCGACGCAGAAAGCGCGTGGTATTCATTTCGCCAGGTGAGGGTCGCAGCACTAATGGCCAAGGCCATACAAACGATGAATATATCGTAGCAGGAGGCTCTTTGGGGCGAGTCGAAGCAGTTGGCATAGCTATCCAGTAGTTCCTGCTCTTCGACGCAAGGGTGTCGTACTAGAAGAGTTCCAATATATGTCTTCAGCATCAGATCGGCCGCCGTGCGAGGAATGTCGGCCAGGTTGATTGCTTTGGGCGATGTTCCGCCAGCGACTTCATCTCGGGACGGATAGCGTGTTTGGGGCGGGAATGGCAGCGGCAAGCTGGACTGTTGCAGGTGAAAGGCACCATAGTATGGAATCATATTGCTGGAGTCAGAGCCTTGGAAATCCATGACGCTGGTCATTGCAGTGGTCAAGATTTTCTGGAGCCGGGGCAGACGACCTGGGTGACTGGGGTCATGGTCACTCGGTATTCCGGTCGAGTCTCGAAATTGAAGGCTGAGGCTGAGGCTGCTGCTCCCTGGATGCTCCTGGCCCTGACCATGTTCCTTTAACGCTTTTATTCTCTCTTCGAGAGCAGAGACCTTGCTTTCTAGGTAGGCTGTCGTGCTTCGGGGCACCTCTCTATCCAGCGTGGTGTCAAAGCCCAAGCATGGCACCCGCACCGACCTGCACGACGAACAAGCCGGCCATAGACCGTCGCACCTGATTTTCCGGGTGCGACATCTTGCACATGCTTTGTTGTGTGCGGGTCGTGTGTGATCGATCTTGACTCGTTTAGACATTATGATGATGACTTGAGCACCAGCAGAAGACAGAAGTCGCCTCTCTGTATACCGCGATCTGAGAGACAGGACTCCGTACCTAGGTGATTGATGAAAATATGAGGACGGAGACAATGTACGGATACGGCCAGTGCGTACCATGGCGTGGAGGGCGGAGGGCAGAGGGCAGAGGGCAGTCTGACAACCAGTGTGGGTCAAGATAAGGACTTGACCCTCACTCTCGCCGTCCTCCATGTTTAAACCCTTTCCCTTTCTCACCCCAGCAATCCTGTCTCATCGCATGGTATCGCCGACGCAGACCTGGTCATGGCTGGCTGGAACCTGCCAACTTGCACAAGATGTCAAAAGAGGAAGAAGAAGGTCGAGCAAATCCCAATTCGCAATTCGCACTGCCCGTCCATCCAGGCTAATGGAACACCACTCTAGTGTGACAAGGTCCTCCCCAGCTGCATCAACTGCAGCGAAGATGGCTTCGAATGTGTCTTTTATGACCCCAGCACCCGGCGGGTTGTTTCAAGGAGGTAAGGAGGTCTGAGACTATACCCGGCACGCGCCTACGATTGTTCTTCCGTTGCGCTGACATGATCCTCGTTGCAGAGCGGTCAAAGATCTCGAGGAAAAGGCGAGGCGGCTTGAAATCGAACTGGAAAATCTACAGAGAATCCAGTCCTCGAGTTCGCTGACCTGCTGTCCCCCCTCATCAGGGTCCACGGCAGTACTGCAGCAAGATTCGGGGAGCTCATGGCCGTCTAACCCTTCTTCACCTTTGCACAGCCTGGAAATGGATCACTGGCAGAATACTGCCTTTCATCCAGACCCGTTCACAGGTTCTGTCAGCCCAAGCTTCGGTCTTCCTTTCGTGGGACCCGGGACTGCTGTGGATCTTGGTCTTGCCACTGCCAAATCAGCCGGTCTAGACAACCTCTTCGAGGACAGCTTCTCCGGCACGACAGCGACAAGCAATTCCAACTGGCCTTTGCTGAGATCGGAGAAGCTGAAGCTCGATCGATCAATGTCAATGATTGAGCCGTCGCTCGTCCGTGGACTCATCGACGGTTACTATTTTCCGATCCTCCATTCACTGTATCCCGTGGTGGATCGGTCGCAAGTCGAATTCCATGTCCCACAGATCAAACACCTCCCTCTGAAGAAACAGCTGTTTGTCGGCCTGACTGCTGCAATTGCTGCCGCTCACCAGGGTCGAGGCGACCCATCAATGGGCGCTACGGCCCTCAGCCTCCGCACTTGGGCCGACGACCTGATCCCCAGTGTTCTTGCACAGCAGGATGACGACTCGTTGCAGACGATGATTCTACTTATCTTCTACGAATTGATTGATCCCAGACGCAAACTGATCTGGTACCTCTTGGGGTTGACATGTCGAATGTGCGTCAGACTTCGCTGGCACCGAGAAGACGAATCCGTCGTGTCTTCTACCGCTGAACAGGACTTGGCCAACCACCTGGCCCGGTATCCGTCGCCTTGGAGACGGAGACTCTTCCGGATAGTCTATGAATGGGAACGGTACGTGCATGTAGATATGTCTATAACTATATTTGCCCCCGTCTGGTGCTTTGGCATCCTTATTGTAACTTGTGAAGAACTAACTCCAAGTCAGGTTGGTTTGTGTCGCCCTGCAACGACCATCCATTTTCTCCCATGATCTGGTGGACATGAGCTTCGTCTCAGAGGTCAGCGGCTGCACCAGCACCAGCAGCAACACCAGCATTCTTCGAACTCTACATACAGAGTTGGCCTTGCGACAAAAGATCCGGGATTGTTCAACAGACGCGTGTATGCTGGACTGTCAGTTTGTGTCGTTTGTCCATGAGAATGTACCGCCACCATCACCACCAGGCTCGGAAGGAGGAAGTGTCACCAGTGATATCTTGTGGCTCACCATCTACCTCACAACACAATATACTTGGGTGCACAGTAGCATTCACGAGCAATATAAAATCCAATGGACAGACAAGATCCTGCGAGCGGCCATGTCGCGCATCAGTGCACTGTTTGCGGCCCAGCGGGGTGGACGCATTGTGAGTATCTGGCTTAGTACGATCGAAGTGTTCACCGTTGGAACCACCATCCTCGACATTTTGTTGCGTCAGCGTCAGCGTCGACGCGATGCAGCAGCGACAGCGACAGCGACGGCAAAATTCACCGATGCGAGTCTTGATCGACAATGGTCGCAGTCGTTGAGGAGAGCATCGAGCCTCCTGGCTGGATTTTCTGAGCTTTGGGAAGGCGCCAGGGTGTACCGGGATGTCTTTGATGCCGTTTCCGATCGGGTCTTTGCTGAGCTTGAAGCGTAAGGGTACTAATATCATAAGATAGATTCATGAAATATTAAATGTTAGTCAGTGCACTTATTCATGAAATGTTGGTCCTGTCCTCGTTGAACGGTGCGACCTCTGACGAGTCAGTACTAGAGATTACAGTACCTCTAACCCTTCAATAACGAACCCTCTTGTGCTTGGTAACTAACTAACTGGACCGTAGATGGTGAAGAATGAAAGTCTGGAATCGACCATTGATTTTGGAATCCACTTATCAATGCAAGAGTATAGTCGTGCCTCGAAGCGTCTCCTGTGCGTCCTACTCCAGGTCTCCATTTCTGGACTCGTCACTTCCTTGTCGGAGTTTTGCATCGGAGAATTCCATCGGAGTATTCCATTTCCATTGACATGTTCCCCGTCTATCTATCTATCTAATATCTACACCATACGCCACTATTACTATTCCTTTGCGCCACAGTTCAGGATCTGTAATGCAGTGCCCACTAGATTGTTTGTTTAGCACGGAACCCCCCGACGGGATCACGGCACAGTGGTATCTGGGTGATGGGTGCAGTCCCATGCTCTTCTCTCCCATCGTCTCGGCATCTTCTGGCACCGCGCCGGTGGTGTTGGGGGACATGAAGCCTTCAGACAGGATTCAGATCTTGTATAAAGGGGATGAGCCAGTAGCCAGTAGCCCCTTGACTGTTCAGCCGTCTATTCTCGAAACTTAGTATTCATTCGTCTCTCCCAAGCGTCATCTCGGTTTATGTGTATGGTCAGATCGTTCGATTGTTTCTCTATATCAGAATGCCATCTCCGTTTCTTAGTTGCCTCCTCTGCTTGCGGAGGGAAAGGGAGAAGGTTAAGGTGCCTCCATTTGCCCTCAACCGCGGTGGCAAGTCTCCTGCATCCTCGTCGGATAGTGATTTTCAGGTCCAATCCAGGGAAAATCTGAAAGACAGAAACATCAAATCTGGGCCTGAGACGACGACCACAGTATTGGAAATACCCGACAGACTCGATCACAATCACAATCACAATACACTACCGAAGTGGAATCCAGCCCTCGTTGTGGAGCGGGAGGGCAAAGGCGACGGGAAAGGGAAAAACACTTACCGTATCATCGAGAATTATCCATATCCGACATTGGAGTCTGACGACGAGGTCATCATCTCGAATCGTGCCGTGGGATTAAATCCCATCGATTGGAAAAGCGTCGACTTCAACTTCTGCTTACCGGAGTTCCCGTGGATTACGGGGCGGGAGATGGCTGGTGTTGTAGACGCGATTGGAGCGAATGTTAAGGACTTCAAAGTCGGAGACCGGGTGTGGACCAGTCAGTATATACCATAGCTCTTTCCCGTGGTGGTAAGGAATATGAGGATCTGGCGTGCTGATCTATTCATCTTGTTTCTCAGGCACATACTACCGAGATCGAAGAGCAGGTTGTTTCCAGCACTATGTCACCGTTCCACAACACACTGTCAATCATGTCCCTGACAACCTCGACTTTGCATCGGCAGCATGTCTCGGAGTCGCCGGTCTTACAGCGGCCATGACTCTATGGAAATGGCTGGAGGTAGCAGTTCCGCCACCATGCCCACCACAATCACAATCACAACCAGCAACAGGAACAGTAACAACAACACTGTCACTCAGAACCAGCGCCACCAGCACCACCCCTTTCACAGAGCCCCCTGGCGAAGCTGCCGATTTCCTCCTCATCTGGGGCGGATCGGCTGTGACGGCACAGTTCGCGATCCAGATTGCCGTCTTGAGCGGACTGCAAGTCATTGCAGTCGCGTCGGAGAAAACCAAGTCCCTCGTGTCCGGCTTAGGAGCGACTCATGTGGTGACGCGTGATGGCAAGACGAACAGTGAAATCGTGGCCGAAGTTCGCCGAGTAGGAGGCGACAGCATCACCCGTGGCCTGGACTTGGTCGGCACCGAAACTGCAACCTACTGTCTCCAGGCCATGTCGCAGACCAGGCCGAGCTTGTTTGCACCCTTGGCCATGATCCCGAGCAAGGCGGTGATCCCGGACAATATCAGAGTACAGACGGTCGAAATGAAGCAATTCGTCCTCAATCCGGACTGCGGAGTCTACGCCAGGCAGCTGAATCATCTGGTATGCGACGGATTGCTGGTCATGCCCAGCACGCATGTTTTGGACGGCGGTCTCAAGAGCATTCAGGCCGGTCTGGACCGATTGAAAAGCGGTGACATGGCCGGAAAGAAATTAGTAGTGAGCATGACGATGTAAGTATGACCATGTGAGAAAGGAGAAGGCGGTGTCAAAGGTTGAAATGTTCCATGTCCGCTATCAAAGGGGTATGGGGAGCCCAGACTATATAGGTATGCCTATACCTATACCAGCCCTGGTTACTGGACAAGGCTGGGAATGCAGTTTAGGTCTAAAGTCAGTGCCTAAGTTTGACAGTGAGAAGGGGGAAGGGGAAGGGGGAAGGGGGAAGGGGGAAGGCGGAAGGCGGAAAAAGAGGCGAGATCAGCCACAGCCATCTCATAATCTCATATACCGGACGAATAGACAAACTATATACCTGTACATATACATGGTCGTGCTAGCCGCCATGTAATCAATGACGAATGCGAAGGCGGCACGCACACTGAGCGCTTGATCTCTAAACCTGCCATGACACCAGACACCAGGTACTAGATACCAGGTACTAGATACCAGATACTAGATACCAGATACTAGACACCAGACACCAGACATTTCAATGACGTCTACTCATAACTTCAATTCGTACCTATAGACATGTGAATTCCAGATGAGTTCAAAGGTGATATATCGAAAGGATGGATCCGTCACACATGTAGTCCAGACTGATACCTAATTAATGTATGTGATGTGTCCCAGGTCGGTCCACCAACACACCTCCACCAAACGAATAGGTCATATATAGCATATAGGAAGTGTTCTGCAGCTTCAAGACCATATCATATAGGAAGTTTTCTGCAGCCTCAAGGTCATAGTATACAGGAAGCGTTCTGCAGCAGGTTTGTGCATATGCATATATCATAGTACCTAGCTCTCAAGTGGTTCCATTTGTTGTAGCCTTTTTCTTTTCCTTGGTGGCCAATTCCAGTCCGTTTTGACGAAGATCCCACAGCGAAGGATGGTTGGTCTTGCGGACGTTCCATTTGAACTGGTGCGCAGGATGGTCCGCCTTGACTAGTTTTTGTCCTTTGATCCCGTGCAGATTCTCGCGTAATGTTCCTCCGGGGACTGGGTAATCGTCCCAGTATAGACCTCTTCTCTGCAGTTCGGGCACCAAGAGGTCGACAACGTCTTTGAAGCTCTCTCCAGTCACGTATTCTGTGTGGTGAGATGTGTTTCGGTTAGCGATGTGATGTCGATGTCCTCAATCTTTCAGGGCCGTTGGTGCTTGGTTGATCGTAGGCTCTGCCCTGCTTTCTTGGGAAGGAAAAGGAAAGGAAAGCATAGCCAAGGAAAAAGGGAAAAGGGAAAGGGACTCCTGATAGAAAGAGAAGAAAAAAAGACAGCAGACACAGACAGCAGCACTCACGTTGCACATTGAATCCGTCCACGTCAGCCTCGTCCATCCAACGCTCCATGACGTCGGCGACCTCTGCAGCGGTGCCGACGGGCGCGGTGAGCCCGAATCCCATGCCCATCATACTGCCGAGTTTCCGCGGCGTCCAGGGCCCTTCGGTGTCGTCGGCGGTGGCGGCCTTGATCGAGTTGATCCATCCGTGGATGGCCGAGTCGGAGGCTTCGGCCTTGAAGTCGAACGGCTCGTCGAGCGGATACTGGCTCAGGTCGACGCCGATGAAGCCTGAGATGGTGGCTACGCCGCCTTCCGAGTAAGCCAAAGCCTGGGCCTTCCCATGCTTCGCCACGGCTTCTTCGTGCGTCCGGCCTAGAGTGGGTAGGAGGGCCATGAAGAACTTGATCTTGGACCCATCGCGGCCAGCCTCGTAGGCCGCCTGGCGCACGGCGTCGACCTGCTTACGCACATAGGCGGGCGAGGTGCCGTGGACGAAGAGGGCCTCGGCGTGATGGGCGGCAAAGCCGATCCCGGCCTTGGACGCGCCCGCTTGGAACAGCGTCGGTGTCCGTTGAGGCGAAGGGTGCGTATGGTTGTACGCCTTCATCTTGTAGTATCGGCCCTGATGGTCGACTTTGTGCACCTTTTTGGGATCGTACGCCATGTCTTGCTCCTTGTCGAATACCTACAGGGACACGTAAGGTCCTCGAGGTCAGCGTGGTTGGGTTCGGTGGTTCGAAACAAAACGATCCATGTACCATATGTGCAATCACTGACCTGGGCTCCATCTTCCCATGAACCTTCCCATAGACTATAGACCGCTCGCGTTAATTGGCCACTTTTAGCAATTGGGATCGGGATGAGGATCAGCATCAGCATCAGAACCCGTACTTACTCGTACAACACCTCCATGAATTCGGCCGCTCTTTCATATCTCTCGTCATGGGGAATCATCTTCTCCAATCCCATAGCGTCCGCTGCCGCACTGTTGAAGCTCGTGACCACGTTCCAGCCGAGGCGACCTTCGGTCAGATGATCCACTGTCGACAAGCTCCGAGCCAGAATATAGGGTGCTGTTTGGGACAAGGTTTGGGTGTTTGGTTAGCCAAGTCCCCCTGTTCTTGCTTCGACGTCTGAACTTGAACTTACGAATGTAGCTGGTGGTGCATGTGCATGTAATTCCAACCGTGGTGGTGGCCATGGCCATGGGTCCGGCAAACATCAACGGATCCATATGAGCGACATGGCCGCCCCCGATGAAAATTGCAGAGGCGGATTTCTCATACGTCTCGGGATTGCCGTACGAGTCGGTAAAGAAGATGGTTGTGATCTTGCCCCGTTCCGCCAGCTTGGCCAATTCGACATAGTACTCGATGCGATCCTTCGTACTCGACTGGTCTTTGGAATCCCTATTTGCACCGCGTGTCAAGACTTGTCTAACTCACTCACTTTGGACAAACATGACCTACGCCAGTACTTACTTCCATTGTCCCATGCATCCCGAGTTTCCAACACTCGTGTTGTCTATGAAGTTGAGCTGAATCTGTTTACGCCCTTCCATATTGAAAAGCTTGGACTTCCGTTTCGGGGGATATCAATCAATCTGCAATTTGGATTACCACAAGATATAAGGTGCGTCCAGCAAGCCCAAATAAATCCGGGAGGGCCAGTCTGATATTTGTAATTCTTTGCACACTTGAGTCAAGGGCTCGATGACTAGCTTCCGAGGGGTTTGGGATTGGAATTGAAACTACTACTAGTATTACCAGAAAATCACCGGCCTTTTCCCAACCTGATCGCAGGTCTCCGACGAGATTGGAACTGGATCTAGCACAGGATCTTATCGGAATGGAATTGTATGTACCCACCCTTGAATCTGATAATCCTATCGCACAGTAGCTGGAATATTCCGATATAATCAGGCCAAGACGTCGTGCTTCCACGACGGCGAGTATATCTGATAAGGTCATTTGGTAGCAATCTGACGAGATAGATGACCTGTGTAGATATACAGAGTATACAAAAGTAGGTGGTCTAACTTAATGGGGATGTGATGAGTCGTTGCAGTTACCTCCTGATGGCTGCTTGGGTGGAGAAAGCGAACAAGGCTGACGGATACGGATACATATCAACATACGGACGGATACGTATCTACATACCACAGAGACATTGCATACCCAGGATGTACGATTGTACGCTGGTGGAGCAAACAGGGCCTCAGACTGTCGGGATTCTCCAATCTGGCCTGGAGAACTGCGACCGACCAGCTGATTGGGCCGCCGACCACATCGCTATCATGGAATTGCCAACCATATCCTGTAGTGGCTGGAGTACTCCGATTTAGGCTCAGATAAAGACCTGGGCTCGATCGATGGCTGTACTACAGAGTATCCGTACATGCCCTCACTGCTCAACCAAGCAAGCCCTGGCCTTGTCCGACCGGGCAGGAAAGAGCTGGAGCTGATATGAACAAGAGTCGTCTGGTGAACCGTCTTCGTCTTGTATAAGAGGATTCCCGAGTTTTCTCAAGTATCCTTCATGAGTCGTCTATCCTGGTCTCGACGTTTGTGTCTGAATTTCATATTATCTCACGTCCATATCAAATTTCAGTGGATCTACCCTCAAGACAAACCTCCTCCCCTGCTGTCCTGAGGCTTCCTTCCCTTCTCCCATGTCTACCATGTCTACCATGTTGGACCTCAAGACTGCTGCCACCGAGAGTGGCGTAGCGGCAGCGGACGACACGTCGGGCCACCTGGCAAACACCGAGATTTACATTGATCCGGAAATGGAGAAGCGTGTGATGCGCAAGTTCGACTATTATATGCTGCCGCAGTTTGCCGTCCTGCCGTTTGTCTTGTTCCTCGACAGGTCCAACATAGGAAATGCCAGAGTGTTTGGCTTCGAGGAGAGCTTGCACTTCAAGGGCAATGATTTCGGCAACGTCAATACCATTTTCTACGCCAGCTATGTCGTATTTGAGATTCCTTGGGTCATGGCGTAAGGATAGCCTAGCATCTTCTTCCTTTTCCTGCCTCCTTCTCCCTCTGTTGTCATCGTCAATCACTAACATACAGTTCTGCCCACAGGCTGAAACGCTGGGGTGCAAATGTCATCATTCCCATCTCATTCGTCTGCTGGAGTCTGGTCACTCTGGGAACCGGCTTCGTCCAAAACTTCGGGCAGACTGTCGCGCTGCGGGTCCTCCTGGGAGTGTTCGAGGCCGGTCTGTTTCCGGGCTTGACCTTTCTGATCTCCACCATCTACTCGAGAGAAGCACAAGCCATGAGAGTCGCCATCCTCTACGCGGCGGGATGCCTGTCTGGCGCATTTGGCGGTCTCATTGCCTATGGGATTCAAACCATGGGTGAGCAACGAGGTCTCGAAGCGTGGCGATGGCTTTTCATCATTGAGGGCAGCATCTCGGTCGTTCTCTGCGGCATTGCCTGGTTCACTCTGCCCAAGAACGCCGAGGTGGCCTGGTTTCTGACCCCGGAGGAAAGAGAGATGATGCAAAAGAGAAAGATGAGGGACATTCTCTACAAGGGCGACGACGAATTTTCCTGGAATTACGCCAAAATGGCCTTCAAGGACGTCCAAATCTACCTCGCCGCCGCCTGTGCCTTTGCCAGCTCTATCCCATTGTTCGGCCTGGCCAATTTTATGCCTACAATAATTCGCGGTCTCGGGTAAGTCCAGGCATGTCCTTGTTTCTCTCTTTTGGTTTGGTCTCAGTAGGTGCATCCACCTCGAGTCCAGTTTGTCGTGGGTGACAGTCGGTGCATCCGCATCCAATCCCCAGTTTGTTGTGGGTGGGTGAGCGAAGAAAGGGAAGAAGTGAAATGACTACTGTATGACTGACGCAAAGGACTTTAGATACACCTCGTATCAAGCCAACTACCTCACCATTCCGATTTATCTCTTTTCCACCATGACGCTATATACGGGCGCCTGGCTATCGGATCGTTACCGAAGACGAGCACTAATAGCCGTGTGTGGCACTCTCCCCGTCATTCTCGGCTATGCCATTCTCCTAGGAACAGACAACGTCGGTGCTGGGTATTTTGCCATGTACATGTGTGCTGGAGGTCAGATTTCCCCTTTCCCCTTGCCCTTCCCCCTTTCGCCCATGCCACTTGAATAGAAAACACCATTCGGAATGGTTTCTGCTTCTCCGGGCATGCCTGGCTAACAAGTCATGCTGGATTCTAGGCATCTACATTTACAACACTGTACTCTACACCTGGCTCGCGAACAACCTGAAACCGGATTATAAGAGGAGTGTGGGAATTCCCTTGTTTGCATCCTTGTCAAACATTTCCGGGACCGTCTCTTCTCAAATCTATCCAAGTGCCGATGGACCACGGTGAGTGATAGAAGAATGCATTCCTAACACCATCACAAACCACACATGCACATCTATCCAACCAAGCACCCCTTCCATTCCATTCAATTCCCTTCCCTTCTCTTACCTTCCCTCCCTCAGACTAGACAATTCGAATCACCAGCTGACTCTTGACCATCGTTGCTGGGTAGGTATATCATGGGCAGTGCAGTCAGTATGGGGATGGAGGTCGTGGCCTTGATGGGTACTGTGGCGATCTACTTCTTGCTCCGATCCCGGAACATGAAGAAGCAGAAACTCATTAACGAAGGAGCCACCACCAATGAGAAAGATGGCGACAAGGCTCTGGACTTTGAGTATATTCTCTAAAGCCAAACCCAAGTATCCACTCAGGAGGCTGTCGGCATCACATGCTATGTCCAGTTAGGAGGATGTCAGGATCCCATGCCATATCCATATAGAGCATGAGATGGACTGAAGCTCAGATTCATTAAAGATCTATATCCCGGACCATCCATGCCATGACCGTGCTCGTTGGTCTCTTGCCTCCTGCAAACTATTGAGATACGGCTGTTTTCTGCTGTCAGATATAGAAAAGGGTTATTGTTGACTATCAAACTTTAAGAGGTCTTGGGCTTTCAAAAGCCATAGATGCCTAAGGCTATTTACTATATATCTTTCTATTGTCAAAGGTTGAAATGTTCCTTGTTCTTATCAAAGGGGTACAAGGGGGGCCCAGACTATATCGGTATGTCTATACCAGCCCTGGTTAACCGGCAAGGCTGGGAATGTATTCTAGGCCTAAAGTTAGTGCCCTAAGTTTGACTGGGATACGCTACTGGCTATTGATGCAACCACTTTGGCGGATGCCTCAGCGCGTGGAGGAGGTCTAACCTAAGACGGTGGTGCCTATATATAAGTTAAGGTACGTATAAAGGAGGGACATAGACACACACACACATACACATACACACACACACACACACACACACA